TTTATTTATATGATTTTCATGACACAACTGCTTCACCAAGTGTGCAAATATATCCATTAGTGAAGTTTAAATCATTAGTGTTGGATATCAAATTGGCATAAGTAGAGTGTAACTCATAATTTAAGGTGAGCTAAAACAATTTAAATACCCTTCATATTGTTTCCAATAATCTATACTTGGATTCCTTAAAAATCCTATTAGTTTGTTAGCTAAGTAAGCAATATCAGGTCTTATGTAATTCATAATATACATTAATCTCTCAATTATCCGAGAATATTGTAATTAGTCTATTTCTTTACTTTTATTTTTTGACGAATGGATACTTATGTTCATTGGTATTTTTATAATGTTATTGTCACTTTTATAAAATTTATCAAGAACTTTCTCAACATAATCAGATTGAAACAATATCAATATATCAAGTGTCCTATAAATCTTTATTTCTAATATAATATCTACAACATCTAAGTCTTCAATGTCAAACTTGTTAGTTAATATTTTCTTAATAGACTTGATCATGTGATTATTACTATCCAAAATAAGCATATCATTCACGTAAAGACATCCAATAAAATAATATTTATCTTCTTTTTTTTTACATGAACACATTTATCAATTTCATTGATTTTAAATTTATTTGACAACATGACCTTGTCTGATTTTTCATGTTATTATTTAATTGTTTGTTTCAAACCAAATAATAATTTGAAAAGCTTACAAAAAAAAATTTCTTATTCATTGACAACAAATTCCTCGAGGTGTTCCCTCTACAAATAATAATTTTAACAACATCATTTTGTTTAGTTGCACATAAACACAATTCAACAAACCAATGAAATATTACTCAATGATTTCTTTATAAAGACTAAATATGATTTTTATGAAAAATTATCAAAGAAAAAATAAGGGTTTAAAACCAAAAAACAATGTTAAAAAATAAGATGAAAAAGAATGTCAAATTTTGTTAAAATAATATAGAATTAATCAACCCAAACTCTTTTTTTTTTTTTACCCTTTTTTTAAAGACTTTTAGGAACCAAAAGATGATGGCTTCCCTCCTAAAATTTTTTATTATCGACAATAAACTAAAATTAAACATAAATGTTTTCTTTATTTAAATCAAGTGACTTATGAGTTGAAAAATTTGTTCATAAATGTTGAAAAAGTTCTAAAACAACCGATCAAATTTTTCCTTTCATAAAATGTTTTGGGTGGGAAAAAATAATTTATCATTGATCACGCTCGAATCTAAATTTTAGTTAGAAAAAAATATTTTTTTATGGTTTAAAATATTATTTCAATAAACAAAGCCCAAGTCCAAGCATGAGCAAGGTTAATTCAACATAATATTTGTTTTGAACATCTTTTTAAATCAATTTTAAATTCTTAACTTTCTATTTTAAAAATATTAATAAGGTTTTGTTTTTTTTTAAGTGAGATAAGAAATTTTAGGTTTCTTTAAAATATATCACTAATGATAAATATTTTATATTAAAGAGTTTTTATTAAAAATTAAATTCCAATAAATTTTAAATTTTTAACCCACATAAAACCTCACTTTTAATATTACCTCAGGTATGCTAATTAATCATATTCTTGAACAAATTTTCAAACACCCCCAGCCACATTCTCTGGGTTCATTGGCATGGTACTACCATCAGTATTCTACTATCAAATACTGGTTTTTCAGTTTTGAAGAATCGATTCTCCATATCAAGTTACAATCGAAATCGGGTACTCTTGACCTTCTACAACTAAGAAATGTGTTCCTTCCTCCATCACCATCAGGCCATCTTCATTAGTTCTACTAAGGTGTTCACAAGGGCTCACTTCAAATTCAATTTCAGCTCTTTCCCCTGCACCTAATTGCACACTACGGAATCCAACCAGCTGTTTCCTTGGCCTACCATTTCCTTGTTTCGTCTGCCTCGCGAATAGTAAAACTGGATGTTTGCCCACCATCTCACCATGGTTCTCTACTTCAATTCTAACAGGGAATTTGTTGTGCTCACAGAATTCCGTGCCCAATTCAGAAACCAATATGGACAGAACTGAGTCGAAGTTGTTGATTTTATGCATTGTTGATGATTGATTCAAGTAGAGTTTGTTTTGGGAGACAGCTCTTAGTTCATAAGTATATTTCGAGTAGCTGAGGCCATAACCAAACTCAAAAACAGTTGGTCCTCTGTAGAATCTGTATGTACGCCCAGGATAGCCTGAAGAAGTTTCAGCTCGCATCCTCATATCTGTCATTGGAACTTTGACAAATTCTTGTGGATACCAAGTCATCGGTAGCTTCCCTCCTGCATTGCAACGCATAGTTCAGCATTAGAACTACAAAATGTTGATACACTCACACACACACAAAATATGTGTGTGTGTGTGTGTGTTGGGACAACCCATTTCTCATCCACTTGAGCACAAATAAAGAAGCATATATCACCTGGATTATGGTCACCAAAGATGATTTCTGCCAGAGCAATTGCACCAGCTTCACCAGGATAACCAGCCCACAAAATGCTTCCGATATTTTTATCATTTTTGGCGAAAGATATATCAACAGGACCTCCAGAAAGAAGCACTAGAACAACTGGATTCTTTGCTGCTTTTGCAACACTGATAATCAGTTCTTGTTGCTTCCCAGGTAGCACCAAGTCTCTGCGATCAAGTCCCTCCTTCTCTTGCGTATCGTCCAGACCCATTATCAATACCACATGATCCGCCCCTTTTGCTACATTCACTGCCCCATCAATTGAAGCTGAAGAGCATTGAACCGAGTCACAACCTGGGTAAGGAATAGTGTGTTTAATATAGCTCTGCAACGCTTGCAGTGGCGTTACAAGTTTGCATGGAGGGCCTGCATAGTTTCCGAGAAGTGTTTGCACAGAATTGGCATTGGGGCCAATAACAGCCAGGGACATGGTTTTGGATTTTGAAAGTGGGAGGAGCCCTGCAGAGTTCTTTAAAAGGACAATGCCATTACGGGCTGCATCGAGGGCTAGCATCTGGTTTTCTTTGGAGCAGACTTGGTCAGGACCAATGTTCCCAAATTGCTGGCCAGTAGGATTCCCATTGAAAAGGCCTAACCTCATTCTTACAGAGAAGAGGTTATGAAGGGCTCTGTCTATTTCAGATAAACTTAATTTTTTTTGGTCCACGGCTGCTTTGGTGTGTTGCTGCAAGTATGATCCACAGTTGACGTCCATGCCTGCGTGCATGTGTATGTTAAACAGAGCTCAATGACAAAATGTCAAATGAAGCTATATATCACCACAGATGAAAAAATTTGAATTTTTTTTTCAAATTAATTTTTTTTACTTTATTTTAGAAAGACAAAAGAAATAAAATATTATTTTTTTATTGTTAATGTTGTATTAGTTTATTCTGGATTGTTTTTATTTTTTTCACATTTTTTTTTATTTAGTTTCAAAAGCCAAAGAAAAATACTAGGAAAGAAACAAATTTTATGTAAAAATTATAAAATCATGCCTATGAAAATATAAAAAACTGAATCAAGCATGTTCAATCAATAAATCCATGATTTTATCCTTCATTAATGAAGTAAAAAAAATAAAGTAACACTTAAAAAAAGGTTAATAAAAATTATTATTTTTATTTATAAAATAAAGTAAATAAGTTTCAAAATTAAAAAAAAAATGAAAAATAATCTCTAGCTGTAAGCAAATAAAAATTTTGCAAAACCTTTTACCAATAATTGTTTTTAAACCACAAAGATATATTTATTAAAAATCAATATGACAAGGATTTCTAGTATCATTAAAACCCTATAGCTACATGAAAAAAATTACTTCTTGCTTCTGCAAAATCAATGTGCACTAAACTATCTTTTTTTTTTTTAAGTTGAATAAATTTATCTGGAAATATAGTTGGAATTATTTTTTAAAATATTTTTATATTGAAATATATTAAAATAATATTTTTTATTTTTTAAAAATTATTTTTAAAATCAGCATATTAAAATAATTCTAAATATATAAAAATTTAATTTTTTAAAAATATAAATTATACCACATTCTTCATCAGACATATCCCTCTTCTGGGGGTGTAAATTGGATAAACTATGAACAGACACAATGTGACTATCAATTGGAACAAGGCCAGTGGGCCTCGCTAACAGTTCTCGGGGAGGGGGAATGGGGTCTCTTGAAACCCATCTAGCAATTTCTTTGCCAACTTTTCCAATAAAGTTTGTTTTTATGGTGTAAAATTATTTTAAAAAAAATTAAAATTATTTTTTATTATTTTTATATTATTTCAATATATTAATATTAAAAATAAATTAAAAATATATATTATTTTAATATATTTTCAAATAACAAATACATTAAAAATCAACCACTACTATAATATTAAATAGAATATACCAAAAAAATACTTATATCATGTCTATTATTCTTCAGGTGTAAAAAAATATTCACCTATTCAAGTTTGAATAGTTGTATAAAATTCATATTTAGATTAAATTTGTTGTGGGTTATAAAAGATAACAAATAAAATGGATTGAATAAACTTGAGCCATAAAAATATTATACAAGGTCAAATATATCATTAATATTATTTAAAAATAACTTTTTTATTTTAAAAAATAAACTTTATTTTTATAAAAATAAATTAAAATAATATCTTGAAAAATTAAATATAAACAAAATAACTAAAAAAACTTATATTAAAAAAAAAGGCATGTGAAACACATGATCTAGATCATGAAATCAAGATAAACTCATTAAAAAAAACTTGACAAAACCAATATTAAAAAAAAAAAAACAATACAAAATGATAAGATCATATGAAACCGTATCTCCATCAAATTAGATATTGAAAGATGAAATCAAGAAAAAAATTAATTACACAAAAAGATCTAAAAAAATAAAGATGAGAAAAAAAATATTAATCCAAGAAAGAAAAAATTTCAATTGAAAGGTTAAATTGAATTTAAAAAATAATTTTAATAAATAGAAAAATAAATTAAAAGAATGAAGGTTAAATTAAAAAAATGAAACAACAAAAAAATAATTGAATGATGAAATTGAAAGCCAAAAAATCTTCAACAAAAATTCCAAGAAAAAAATAAAAAAAATAAGGATCGAAATAAAAAATATGAAAAATTACGATTAAAGAACTAAATTGAAAGAAAAAAACTTTATTAAAATAAATAAGAAATTAAAAGAAAAAAATAATATTAAAAAAATACATATAAAAAATTGTAATTAAATGAGTAGATTAAAAAGAAAAAATGATTCTAATAAATGGAAAAAAGAGAGAGAATAAGTACTGAAATTAAAAAGTAAAAAAGAAAAATAATGGTATACATTACCTTTCAATTTTATTTTATTTTTTTTCTTTTTTTCTGCCGAGACCATGCACGTCAGCACACTATTATAGTGAGTTTTGGCTACAGTGAATCATTTTAATATATTTGTTATAGATGTAATCTCCCTTCTGATGACACAAATAAAAAGATGAAGAGGGAGGTCTCATACCAGCTTTAAGCACAGCAACCACAGCATCTTCTGGTGTTTTGGCGTATCCTTGAGCATCATGGATGATGGAAACCGCATCACAGTCTGATGTGATGTACCTAATTATCATTAACGATATGGTAATCACACGTATGTTAAAATTTATGTGAAAATAAAAATAAAAATAAAAAGCTGCACTAACCTCGTATTAATAATAAATAAATAAATAAATAAAAAATAAGAAAATGAAGGGTTTTAATAATGTTTTTACTGCTACTTTGGAAATATTTTACCATCAACTTTAATAGTAAAATTATTGATTTGCCCCTCATTTAAATAACAAATAGCAAGTTATTATGGTCCTTTTGTTTTATATAAACAATAAAAATACTAAATTGCTCTTTGAGACAAAAAAGAAATTATATATCTTACATCTGGATATTATTAGATTTTTATTTTAGGTTACAGTTACATTACTAAAATGTCTTTTAAATCAATACTTTTGGTTAAAAAATATTTATGTCTTTTTATTTTAGTTATTTTTTTTATTTTATCAAAATAAAATATTATTAAATTTTAAAAAATTTATTAACTGTTTATATATTTATATATTTTAAGTGATACATATGATACTTTCTTATAATTAAATCTGATTATTCATTATATAATTAGAAGTATTGTCGTGTTATTTTTTTTTTTGCTAGTGAGACACATGTCATCAACAAGTAGATGATTTGTTTTTAATAGATTTTTTTTCTCTCTCCTCTTTTAAAAATTATTGAATGATCTTCTTTGTTTTTTTGTATTTGTGATTTGGTACTTCTTTTGATTTTTTTTTTTTGTCTGACTCTTTAATAAGAATTTTGTTTCTTTTTTATTTAATCTTTCAATTCTAATTTTTGATATATTATATTTTTTAATTTGATATTTATTATTTTGATTTTTTTTACTTGACTTTTTATATTTTTTTTTTAATTTCACTTTTCAATCCAAGTTTATTTTGCATTATTATTTTTAATTTGATCTTTAATTTTTTTTTATTGAAGTTATTTTTCTCTTCGATTTAACCTTCCAAACAAAAATTTATGTCCTTTTTTTCTTTTAATTTTTTTTCATTCTTTGCCATTTTATATAGTTGTTATTGCTTTTCGATTTAGTACTTCAATTTTAATTTTTTATATATTTTTTATTTTATTCTTATTTTTTAAAATTTGTTTTATCAATAACTTTTTTATAAAAATCTTATTGGTTTTTAATCTCACTTTTCAAATCTAAGTTTATGTTGTGCTATTTTTTTTTAGTTTTTTTCTCATTTTTTTTCTTTTGTTTTAGTTATTTTCTTTTCAATTTAATCTTTCAATCAAAATAATTTGTTGTCCTCTAATTTATTTTTATTTCAAATTTCACTCTTATTATTTTAATAATTTTTTTTATTTTAGATTATTTTGTATAATTAATTTTTTTCATATTATGTTCTTCAATGTTTGCTGAATCACCTAATTTTTTTATCTTTTTTTTATTTAATTTCATTGTCTCATTATTATTTTTTTTCAAGATACCGTGATCCATTTAAAAATAAGAATTCTTATTTAATGGGCATTGCAAATGGATAAAGAGTAAAAAAGCGTACCCATCAAAACCCCATTGGGCTCTAGCCGTTTGAGAGAGGAAATTGGAATCCGCACAGTTAGGGATTCCATTAACTCTATTGTAAGCACACATTATCCCACTGGCTCGCCCTTCTTCAACACAACTTTTGAATGGTGGTTGATATGTGTCTGCTAAATCTTGCGCGGTCACCTGATTTCATTAATAACAAGTAAGCCAAGTTTTGTGCACAAGAAAATCTTAAAATGATTTGACTGATATATATATATATATATATATTGATGTTTAGCGAGAAACTTATTTATTGTAATAATTCTCATTTCTGTCCTTTTTCTTTTTACTTATAATATATAAAAAGTTTCGTCTATCGATACTATAAAGTTGATAAAGCTCACTTTCTTTGAATTTGACTCCCCAGGAGTCAGAGAATAAAAAGGAAAGCAGCTGAAACAAAAAATCTGGGGAAGGGCATTAGGCATGCGAGACACTTACATGAGCATCAAAAACATAGCGACTCGTGCCATTCCAATTTTCCAAGTCGTAAGCAGTAAAGTGCTTGCAACAAGCTGAAGCTTGAAGTGGCCCGTTAATCTCCCCTCCCTTGAATGAATCCCCTTGAAGCCCTCTCACGTATGACACTGCATATTTCCCTGTCATCAATGGATCCTCACCTGGTGTTTCTTGCCCTCTCCCCCATCTTGGGTCCCTAAATATGTTGATATTTGGTGCCCAGAATGTCATCCCTGCAGCTTGCCCTGCATTGTACAGTGCTCTAGCCTCTTTTCCGATCGCCTTCGGACATTCAAAAATGACTTATACACTAATATTCTTGCAAGTAGAAATTAAGAAAGATTAACGTTTTGTTTGGGTGGTTATACCTGACTAATGCGATACCATTGGTTGGCATCAAAAGAAGCAGCGGAGAGAATGACTTGAGGGAAACTAGTGGCCCTCTTAATAGTTCCATTGAAACGAATGCCAGGTCCTGCATAGGCAATGCCGTGTAATGCCTCGGACCACCACTGATAACCCGGGATGCCAAGTCTTGGAATCGGTTGAGCTGAATTAACGAGTTGGGATATCTTCTCGTCTAATGTTAGCCTGGACACCAGATCGGTGGCTCTTTGGCTGATGGGAAGTGTGGTTTTGCAAAAAGGGAAGGTCTTTGTTGTTGGGTTTGACGAGTCGCATGAGAATGGTGGCTGAGTTGAGTCAGCTTGGAGGACAAGTACAGTGAAGATGGTAAAGGTAAAGAAATGGAGGTTTTGGGGTCTCATTGTGGGGATTGTTTATGGATTTGGAGCGCAAGTACGAGTAATATATTGGGTGTCGCTAGGAGGATGGATGCCAATTGATGGGCAGATAACTTCCTTGTTTAACATTATGATAGGATACATAAAATAAGAATCTAAAGATTTATTTTCTTGCTACATATCCTCGTAATGTATTTCCTTTCTTGCTGTATAATTTATAGAAAGCATTTAGATATATTACTAAATAAAACAACGGTTATTTAATACGTGTAATCAATATCAATATTTCATTTAAATATTAGATTTTTACTGTTTCTTTTAACACCCTTCAACACTGTATGATAAATAAATGCATATGCACGATACTTAACATATAACCTAGTAACACTCATTTATATAATTACCCTTTAATACACTCTAGGCTTGTGTGTTATAAGGTTTATTTATTAGGTAGTCATAATTGGATATGAATATGACCAAATATGCATGTTGAGTATATGGGAATATCACTAATAATAATAAAAAAAAAATTGAGTTTGGATGTG